TGCGCAGTAAACGTGTACCTTTATTTTAAAGTACTACGTTTGACATGCTTACTCCCCCCATGATCATCTTTCGTAGTTATTCCATCCTCTATACTTCTTATTTAAAGTCACCGATATTGACCTTAACTGTTCCCAAGGGTACTGAAACCTGCTTCTAGAACAAACATTGCAGAGACATTGTAATCCAAGCATCGCCAGAGTAAAGCCTGTGCCAGTAATACCCCCTCAGTCACTCAGCATCATCGTCTGTCTCCCAGATGCTCTCTGAAGGGTAGAAGCTGCACAAGCAGCTGTCCCTCCCTCTCGCCGCCACTTAAATGAAAACGTGTGATCAATAAATCTTACCCCGGAGAAGCCATCGCCACATCCCGTCCTCTCTACCTTTGAAGTCTGTCCGGAATTTGACCACTTCTCAGCACCTTCGCCGTCCACTAGCTTGGGCCCAGCAACCCAGTTACTACCGCTGCCCCCTGACTGATCTCCCGCTTGTCCTTCGCAGCCTCCCGCAGCGGTTTTCGGCGGGGCGATCTGAGTGATCAGGATAAACTGTGTGACAGAGTGTGTCTGTCCTTCCTATACTCAAAACTCCCCAGCGGTTTCCCACCGCAGTGCAGTAAAACCTAAATTCTCTCCAAGGATCCAAAGACCCTGTTAGGATCTGCCACGTGTCTCTTCCTTCCTTTCTTTTTCTCCATGGCACTCATCACCTTTGGCATACTACATATTCTCAGTCATTTGTCTGTCTCTTCTAGGGTAAAAACTTAATGAGGGCGAGTTTTATCTGCTTCTTCTTTACTGTCGTGGTCCCAAACTTGAATGGTGTCAGCATTTAACAGGCGCTCAATACATGTTCGTTGAATAAATGAAAAAGTAAATTTTTCTCTAAAAGTCACAGGAAGCACAGACAACGGCTCTGCCATCTTAACTTGAGGTTTCCACCTCTTTCTGTAACGACGAAATTAATGGAAACTCCAGAAAGAGCTGTAACACACGGATGTGAGAATCGTGACGACCGTGTAGGTGGGAGAGAAGTTAAGGTCCAGAAACGAGATTTTTTTTTTTTTTCCAGAAACGAGATTTTAAAGAGGATTATTTTCCTAGTCCTGAAGATTTCTATTGCCACATAAAACTTACGGTGGCCAAGTTAGTCAAAGCATTTCATTCCTATTCTTGTGGCTAATTACTACCTTTAAAGTTTTCAGAAGTTTTATGTTAGAATTTTTAATCTTCCTTCTATCAGCCCACTCTGATGCATCTTAAATTCAATGTATTACTTGATAAAGGCATTAGCTAATACTACTGTAGTAATCATACTGCAATATATAACAAACGTGCATCAAACCAACGTTATATACCTCAAACTTACAAAACGTTATACATCAATTATATCTCAATTTTATAAAATTCAACATATTGCTGTTTGAGGGAGAAAAGTGGGACAAAGAGTAAGAATATTATATAATGAATCTTCTCTTCAGGTAACAGCTTCAGAAATCTGCCTTGAAAGGGAGATCAGACATGGTGGTATTTAATAAGATATTTTAGTACTGTCTTTTTTTTTTTTTTTTATCCTAAGAAGAAAGGAGAAGCAGGAAATATAATTTGAAGGGTCTAAGATTTCCTTAAATTTCATGAAATGCCAAGTTACTATATAAAGCGGGATATATTTGATACTCTCTAAAAACTGAACTATCTGGGAAGGGTCCACCTCAAACGCCAGCTGTCAGTTATCTTGTCAAGCCTAAAAAAATATTGTTTTCCTTAGATCTTTTGAAAGACAGTGGGAAAAAAAAATACTTTTGGAGGACTACTTGAATCTTCAGTCAAAAGGAAACAGAATGAAACTTCCATTAAGGTCAATGGCTAAAACTTTGCTTTTAGCAAAGAAGCATCGCAATGGCAGATAGGCAAAGGTTTGGAAGGTAATAAAGAACCAACTGCTACTTAACCCTCTTAAGAACCTCTGAAATCAGCTAGTTAATTGAAGAAATTGAGAGGAACTAAAAAGGCTATACAGGTGGACAGAGCAGAATGGAGGATAATATTATTAACAGAATATTTCTACAGAACAGGCACAGTGCTAAGCACTTTATAGTCATAATCTCAATTAATCTTTACATAAACCTGGGAGATAGGTGCCGTTAGCCTCAATTATCAGAAAAAGAAACCAACACAGGTCAAGTAATGTGAACGAGGTGATGCAGGAAGGGTTAACTAAAAAGCCAAATATCTTCACTCCAATATGAAACTGTCTCTGTTGCTTCTTCTAGAACTGAGCACACTGCTGGATCTTCCCGTCAGAGTAGCTTCTCTCATGGAAGTCAAGTGTTTCAGCTCTCAGACCCAGCTCTTAGTCCTTATCTGTATGCAACTCCAGAGATCAAGTAAATGACTACAATCACTACATGAGTTTCATCTTATTTCATACTCATGAACTCTAACCTGATCCAGGACCTGCCCTCTAAAAACACCAAAACAAAAACCTGCCCTTGACCATGGGAAGGCTTTTAAGGAATAAAAACAACTCAAAAGGTGATGCTGAAAATACTCTGGCAAGCTGCTCGGTGGCATGTAGCAAACCCCAGCATACGCATGCCCTAACCCGGTAACCCCACCCCGAGACATATACCCAAAGAAGTGCATATGCGTGTTTACTAAAAGACAAATTCAAGAATGCTCACAGCAACACTATTCATAACAGTCCTAATGTGGAAACAACCCAAATGTCCATCAACAATAGGATGGAAGAATGGATAAACTGTAGAATCTTCACACAATAGAACAAACAAACCACACCTACATGGATAAATCTCATGAACATAATGGTGAATGAAAAAGCTGGACAAAAAAAGTTCATATTGTACAGTTCCATTTATATAAACTTCACAAACAATCAAAACTAATCTATGGTGTTAAAAGTCAGGACAGCGATTATCCTTCGGAGGGATAGTGACTGAAGAGGCAGCAATGGGGAGGAGGTCCGCTGAAAATTTTTTGAAAAATTACCTTTTCCATCTGAGAATTTCCTGGCCTTCCATTTGTAACTAAACATTAATTCATAACCATCAAGCTTTGAATTGTTTTCTTTAAAAAGAGAGAATATGACAAAAAATGGATGATTCTATTTAAGACTATGTTACTATTTCTTCTTTTGGGATATTTTATCACATTTGAAAGAATGGTTTTGAATAAATATTTTATTAACTACAAGAAGAAAAGGGGCAAAGAGAAAACACAGACAATCAGGAAATAAAAGTTTATCTAAAAATTTCCTTTGCAGAATAATATTCTGACAAAGATGAGTTAGTGGAAAGAATGAGTATTCTGAACCACGCTACGATATTATTTCCAACAAAGTTTATTTTGAAAAACTGCTCTGTTAAGGGATATTTTTTATTTCCCTGGTTAACACGATGCTGTGATTAAAACCTGCTCCACGTTTTGGAAAGCTATGCAACTTCCTAAAACAGCTACAGGGCAGAGGTTTAAGAGAAGGGTAGGTAACATCTATGACACTTGTATTCATTTTAATGAGCATTAAGAGCTTTCAAACATTGTGATTATGGATCGCCAAGTGATAAGTCTTATAAATTTTTTCTTCACCATGAATGTTGCTAATTTTCTTAGCAACTGATATTAGAAATTCAAGTATCTTCAAGAGGAAATGTCCTGAGAAACTGTGAATCTGGGTTCCAGAAGACCCATGGACAGTGGTCCAATACCAGGAAGAGACAATTTTAGAAAGTCACCATGCCAGTGATCACACATTTCGACTATGAATAAGGCTTTAGCTCCTAGTTCTGCATTCTTCCTTTAGGTTAAATTTAGACAGGGATTTTAGAAACTAATTAGTAAGTAAAACAAGTAAGAGAACTAACAGTGTTATCGATCAGGTTCTCTAGCTGTTATACAGTCAGAAATTGAGAACTTATTCTGTGACTCTCAGCAACGCACGTGACTCTATCGAAATACGAACTACGTTACAGATGTTCAAGTACGACTGCTTCAGCTAGACCCTTGCATAGAGAATGGTTACTGCTGCAGCAGGCTGAGAAATAAGTTACGCTTTATACAGCTTATACGTTTTATCCTTTTAAACTTGACTTTTATAATTGAATTTCCAGTTCCTAGAGTGAGTAAAATAGACTTTTAAGAAATAGAAAACTTTGTGTAAGAAAAGTAATATAGTAATACAAAACTGTCTAGATTATGTTAGGCTTATACTTTCGATTACTCCAGCTTTTAAATTTAAGACAGCTATGTTTTTATATACATTTATATTCCCAATTAAAAAAAAAATTCTTCTCATCCAGAGACTTCCTCATCACTGCTAAGGCTGTCAAACATTTTGATGGTCAGTATATGTGGCATGTATATGTAATATTGCCTATTTCTTTAAAAGAGTAAAGTAAATAAATGTAACCACATAAAGAAATAAAAACGATAAAAGAAATAAATATGGTAGATACCTAAGAAATTGTGCAAACTAATTTTTGAAATATTCTACTGTCTAAAAATATAATTATATGATGCGGAAACTTTATCATTTCTTTTATCTGGTAGGAGTCTCAAACATCATATACAAAGAGATATCTTGTGAATTGAGGATTTAATTACTATGAAAATTTCATTTATATTCACTCTTGGAGTATAATTGTATTACTATTAAAAACACCTGATTCTAAATTCATTTATTTAACTTTAAAGGTCCTTTATATTAGTAATCCATTGTCACACAGACAGAGGCTTATTATGAATTTAATTATAGAAATTTAATTACCTCACTTTACTTTGTGGGAATTATATGTGCCTTAATATTCTCATTTCTCACAAATAATAAAATTATAATTAATGAAAACTGTCCTTACTAAAAATTCAAACAGAACTTTTCGGTCAGTATTTATGGCTTAATGTCACAGGAAAAAAAGAAAACTGTAATCATTTTAAATAGCAACAATTTTCCAGCCCGGCTCAGGCGTGAGAGACGGGGGTCACCATACCTCGCAGAGCAGGAGGTCGATAATGTGGAAGACCATGCAGAGTGGGAACTTGGCCGTGAAAAGGGTGAGAAACCACTGGGACGCGTACATATGAGCTTCCAGGTTCAGGTCACAGAAGTGGCTGTGCAGGTCCGGCAACTGCTCCTGCAAGACAAAGCGGAAACTGAGGGGACAGGACACTGAAGCAGCTTCATTTCCTGCCACAACCGCAATCCGTGCCACGCTTTTGGGGAACACTTTCGATTTACTGTGGCGTTCACTGCATTTCACGTTTGACTACACAGAAGTGATGACAGGAGATGAGAACCAGGGAGATGCCGGATCGTTGGCGAAAATAAAGACAGGCTTGTTAGGAACAAATAACGAAGGTCGACTCTAGCTCGCGTGCCGGGTCTTGCTTCTTGGGAAATGCTCACTCTGACAGGTCACCTACCTGCAGTCTAAGGAACATCATGACTCCAGGGTCAAGTGACGGCAATCCCAATCAGGGTTCAACAGCTAACTAGCTAGGAGAGAAATTTAAGGTTGACATCATCTGGACTCTATGCATTTTGACACTTAGAAAAGGCCAAAACATGTACAAATTTTTGAAAACCTATCTTCAATATATGAAAAAAACAGCAAAGTACAGAAACTACGAGTATATAATGTATAAAAGTAAATGTCTCCTTATAATGACTTTATGCTGGCTTTATCTTTTTTCTCAAGTTAAACCAGTAAATGCTTTTCAAAAGAATAAAAGGCACAGTACGAAGCACAGAATTCCCATAACTGCAAGACAAAGATATGCAAAAGCCTACAGTTAGTTTTGTTTTCATAAACAGACCACCAAAAGAAAAAATAAACCACTTCTTGCACGAGATGCTCTTTAAAAAACACCCAAATGTGTCCATCTAGAGCTTTAAAAGGGGTGTCCAGTGGTCATCCAGTCACCAGACAAAAAGTCATGTCAATGAGCCCTTCCCAATATCTTCGGCCTCATCCCACTAACCTCCTTCCCGAACCATTTCACCTTCTCCCACGTGTATTTTTTTTTCACATTTCTCGTGGGTTTCTAGTACCTCCTACAGAGAATGCGTAGATCCGTTATAAATTAAAGATTTCTAATCTCTGGTGGAATTTCGAAGCTACTCAGTAATTCCTTTTATCAGCACTACTCAATAATCTTGCCCTTGTTCACAAGGTTTTTTATTATGTAATATTTGACATATATATGAATATGTTTCTCATAGATATAAATTTATACAAATATATTAAAGAGTATCAATGCTGTTTGAGATCAGGAAATTATGTGGGAAAAATTTGTAAGTATGTCCGTGTATCATAATATTTTAGGTGTTTTTTATTCTCTTATTAATATCTTTCTGTCTCATCAAGTGTTCTCTTCATGTGGACTTAAAAATGGTACTGATGCTAATTAATATAGAGAAAGCTCTTAAGTATTTCAACTTTTATTCTGTAAATATCTTCATTTCTTTATAAATAATACTCGGCAGTCTCTTCATTGACTTAACTCGCCATATTCGTACTTCAAAGTATATTAAAGTTGAATATCTGAAATGGAAGATTATTTATTAAATGGTCAAATGGGTAAATAAATATTTTATAATATGAAGACCAATGTAGATATTAGAAACCAAGTCTATTTGCATTTTCCGTAGAATTCCATTAACTTTTCATAACTCATTATTGTTCATCGATTTTATTAGATTTTTCTATAACTCAACCAATCTCTAAGTGATAAAAGCCCCTAATTTTTATTTACCTGCATTAGTCTCTCCAATTGATAGAATTTGCAATGAAGATCTTCAAAGTTGTTTTTGTAGAGGTCTCGTAAACCATAGTCATACATGATTTTCACCAAAACACAGAATGCTTGTTCCTCTGGCATCTACAGAAAAACATAAAAATGTAGAACATGACCGAGCGGCATTTGGCCAGAATGTCAGAAAATTTCCTTCGTGTTAATAGACGTCCACGCTAATGGCTGAAGACCTTGAGAGCCAACCTTCTGCAGTGATGTAAGTGAAATCTGTGTTCAACACTGCAGATTCCTCATCTGAGATGGATTTCCCTCTTTTGTTAATTTTAATCATGTTTCATTCACTCATTCATTCGGCCATCTCAAAAATAGATAATACAGTCACATGATTCAAAAATCAAAGTATATAAAGGTAAAAGACTCCTCTCTACCCTTGTGCCTGCCCCACCTCTTTTGCATAATATTATAGCTACTCTCAAATTTTTCTCATGTCTCCTGCCAGTGTTTCTTTATATAAATAAAAGAATTACATTTCTTATTTTATTTTTTTCCCTTTTTTACATAAAGGATTGCTTTTATATACATTGTTATACATCTTACTTTTTCCCTCCAATAATATTTCCAAAGAGGGTCAAAGAACAAACACATTTTTCGTCTAGATAGATAACACGATGTAAAACTGTGCTCCTAGAATCTTCTTGTTGCTATTTTTCTTTCTATAAAAAATAGTTTTCCGGAAAGAATCTTATATACTTCTATCATTAAGATTTAAATAACCAATAAAATCTAACATATCCTCCCAGAGGTATTTTTATCTGAACAGAGAATGAAGTCTAAAACCAAAGAAACAAGCTCTAAATTTTGGTATCAATAAGCTGAAAGAATTGAGAGAGATATAGCCAATATTCCTGAAATTACACTGCAGCAAACAGAAAAGGCTGTCCTTACCCAATGTCCTACCACACAACTATTATGTGAACATCTACTTTAAATGTCACCACTTCGAATGTCTTACCTTGGCTAATTATGGCATTTGACACCTTTGTTAGACTGACCTCTTGCCTGAATAACAGAACCAAGGATAGTTCTATTTATCCACGTAGAAATGTAATTGTTTAAGTTCCTATACAAATTGGCCACTTCTATTTTCTACTTACAACCCATGAAATACGTAAATTAGTTAAATAAAATCTCCTAAAGTTAAGTAAGTATACTTAGGCATCGTTGGTTTGATTCTCTAAATATTCACTTACTTCTATTGACCTATGAGCTGTTTGGGGCCTTGGTTTTGCCCCCAGATGTTCGAGCCAGCAAACATGTTTTAGTCTATACTCAGTTATTTAGAACACGACTGCACTATATTCGTTACTCCTTCGGCAATTCTGCCACTGAAGCCTCAAGTGACACTAACCTGCACATACGAAGTCTACAGTACTCCTCTTACCACCGAGTTCTGAGCCTCTCCATCCTCCTCTCCGACCTCTGCGAAAAAGGCTAACGCAAAAGGCTGCAGATAAAATAACCGTAGCCAGCCCTGGAGAATGGACTTCCTTAAAGTCCCCTCTTTCCAAGTGAATGATAATTACTTTAGTATTTTACCATCCGGTCTCTTTTATAAAGGGGATACACTTTTATGTCCTCAAATGTGGTAGAACCAATAAAGCAAATAAAAGGTTTAAACGCTTTCCGTCATTCACACGTGCAGTCGCTGAACACAGGAGATGAACGCACTGTGCTGGCTGCAGGACACAGCGGTAAAGGCAAAGCGCCTTCCCAAGGGCCAAGTAAAGGGGTAATGCCACCTGGGTCTGAGATGGGCACAGAAGTCCTGGGATGGCGGAGGCTGGGTGTGCAGATGACGAGTTGGACGTAATTACAGCTAGAGCGGAAGCAGAGGGGTGGCTGAGCGTGGGCCAGACTGGGGCAAACGACAAGTGGACATACATTTCTGCATTGCTGTTTTAGGTATAGGGCTTAAATTCTCTCTTTCTCTCTCCCAATCTCTCTCATCCGCTCCCCACTTCCCCTCTCCTGACCTCCCTCTGTCTGTCTCTCAGAAACGCACAAACAATATATTTAATAGATGTTCTTCAAAACAAGATCATTTGCAAATTCGACCTTGATCCCTAAAAAATAAAACTTGACAATCCCAGGTGGTAACCTTTATTTAGAACACAGACACACACACACACACACACACACACACAGTGGTAACCTTTATTTAGAACACAGACACACAGACACACACACACACACACACACACACACACACACACACGCGCGCGCGCGCGCACACACACACTGTGGGAGGAGGACCGTCTTGGGAGTTAGTATCCTTCATGTCTAGTTTAGCAATAGAGCCAAGTTATTGATCTTCAGTTAGTTCATGTGCTGCATGGAAATAGTAGACTAAACGTATAAAATACCAGTCCAGCTGGGAGAGGGGGGATCAATACTGACTATCTGCAAAGACTAAGGTCAGCTCTAATAAGCTCTTTTGGGATTTTAGATATTATCTCGTCATAAACTGACTAAAAATGAACCCCTATGAACACAGAAAAGGACTGCTAACAGAATGAGGAAGTAATGGGAAACATGTATAATCCTTTGGAAAGTAGAAATCTTACCTTCTCTTTCTAGCTTAAAGACAAAGTGAGATCTATCTAGCATGTCTAAACTTTCCATGGTATTTCTCTTTCTTCGATTAACGTATTCCTCATCAGTAGCAGCAACCAGGGTGAGCATACAAAATTTTGCAAAAATGTCAGATTTTTAAAATGAAAACAAATGCCTAAAAATGTATAAAATATGGCTAAATAATATGTTTAATATGTTAATATGTTACTTAATTGTAAATTTATATCATTTAATTTATCCAGCTTTGCTGAGATATAATTAACATATAACACTGTGTAAACTGAAGGTGTACAAAGTAATGACTTGATATACATATATATATTCTATACATATATATTATATATATATATATATATGTCACTTAGAATATGAAGTCTTTGTCATTCATTTTGAGCTGAGGAGACCTTTGCTCTCTCTGAATCCCAAAGCTAGCTCTCTGTGGCATGTAGTATAGTTACTTTATGTCCCTACCAACCTCTGGGCACTGCATTAATTTTTTATACCCCAAAGCCCTTAGTATATAGACCTAAATACATATCGAGTATTAGATATCTGTTTAAGATAACTTTAGCGAAACTCTGAATCCATCCCCCTCTATCAATGAAGGCGTGTCGACAAGTAGGGCAGTCTGTCAACCACAAAGCCAAGAGTCAGCAAAAACATGTAAGGAAAGAATCGGTGTGAAAGAGGAAGCAGGGGCAGCCAAGTGTGACTGCATCACTACTTGATTTCTTTTAATATTATTACAAACACTAATTATAAGAAACTTTTGTATATCTGTAGTTCATACTGGCTGCCAAACTTATCCTTCAATTAGCATAAAAATTAATCAAGATCTCGCAATACCAAACCTCACCTTACTACAAGGTATCTTGCTTTTTAAAAAATGCAATAAAATAACTATTTAACTTATTACAATGATTAATATTTCACTAAACTAGATAATCCAATTTATCATCGATATGCAATTGGTCTAAAGTACAATAAAAATAAATCATTGAGCAATATATTTTTAAATAAACTATTAAGTGTTGGAACATGGTGTGGGTCTCTAATATTGAATGTCCATCTTTGCTGAATACAGGAGCTTTATCATGGAATCACTGTTGTTTTATTGGGGAAGGGAGGAATAAACATTAAAATCTTATAATTTAAGACATCAAAATGTCATCCATGGCTCTGTGAAACACAAAACAAAATACTTGCTTCACATGTACAACCTGAGAATCAAGCATGATGTAAACACTGTTTTGCAGCAAATATTGATAATGACCTGCCATCTCTACTGACAAAGGTGATCACTTAATGAGGACAGTCTCCACATTCACTGCTTCTCTGTGGTGAACCCCAAAACGAAGCAGTTCTATGGACCTCAAGTCTTTAAGACTCACCTAAAGTAACATATGTCGAGATGTTTTCTGAAGTAAAATTATCAGTTGATAATTTAAAATAATCCCTTTGTTTAGGATTAAGCTAAAATTTCTATTCCACATGATTATTTCACATCTTTTTGTAACCAATCTACTGTTTTCCAAGAAGGCACTGAATATTCCACTGATTTTCTGAGTTTTCTTCAACGAAGGTGAAAGCCAGCGACTATTTTGAAAATCAGAAATTGCTACATCTTTATCTCTTGTTTATATGTTGAAAAGCAAATTAAATAAAAATTTCTAGCTGTTTATTTTCCTTTTAAAGCAAATATATGCTAAAATACATTTAAACGGAATGTCTATTTATAAGCTATAAAACATACTGTACAACATATTAGTCTGCTGTGTGTGATCGATTTGACCAATAGCACCAGAGTCCAAAAGAAAATTGGCTGGGCAAATAATTACTAATTTTAGAAAGAAGAGCAGCAGCTACCATTATTAGAGGCATTCATTCACGATCCCCTTTGATCCTCACCAAATTCAGTAGAGTAGGTATTATTTTTATATTTTAAATATTATACTAGTGAAGATCAAAGATGTTAAGTGACTTGACAATAACTACACATCTATTATGTAAAGCCTGAATTTAATCCCATGGCTACAATCTTATTGTGCTAGATACAAAATAAGACTCTTTTGCTCATGATGTAAGGTATTCAATATTCATAATAAAAAAAAAACACCTTTAAAGATGATAATATTATTTCCATCTTATAAATGAAAAAACTGAAGCTCAGAGAGTTTAGGAAACTTGCCCCGGGGTCATATAACTTGAAAGGTATTAAACTGCAATTCAAATTCACAGTTGTGCTTTTTACTACCCTTTGGAATGAGTTCAGCTTTGAAAGGACAGAGAAACCAATGATATGGTGACCAAAAGAGGATATTTTTTTAAAGGTAAAATGTCTCGAATATATTTACAAGACAAAGAGAGAAGATACTAGGAAAAGTTTCCAAAGCACTGATGCAAGAATTAACTCAGAACAGGAAAATTAACTCATGGATTATGAGAAAAAAGTGATCTGGGAGTATAAAAAGACTTATTAAAAATCCACTGAAACACCTGTAGTGAGGACATCACCATACGATGATGCGATATATCTGTCTAGCATCCTATCTCCCTATCCTCTGGTATCAACTCCTCCTTCCCCCAGAAAACCCACTCCCTTGTTCAGGGAGAGCTGATCCAGCTCACCACCAGCACCGTCAGCACTCAAGACCTGGGCCAGGCCAATCAGAATACCCTGCCTTCCTGCTCTTAGTAATTGATTCATAGATGGCAGGTTCCCAGATAATCAGAATCTTCCAGGGATTTTTTTTTTTTTTTAATGCAAGAACTACAGCAAAAAATGGTCCCTTTTAAATGAAGTCATAAAACGGAAAGGATATGAAGCCAGGCCAGCCAGCAGCCACGCTGCCCAATTAGTGGCCTGTCCGTATAATTAAGGCAAGAAAATTTAAGTGAAACAGAGATACAGAGACACAGATTCCTCACGACAAAATAGGAACTCTGAAATCCAACCATGTCAAAATCCCCTCTGCCCTGGAGTTGCCTGTTATGTGAGCCGATAAAATTCCTTTTTAATTTAAGCTCCTTTGAGCTGAGGTTATGTCACATGGAGCAGAGTCCTGAACAACACAATGACACAAACGCTTTTATTTATATATACATACAAAACACTAGGAAGCCTCTACCTTGACCCCTCGCACTCTCTGGAGACTTTATTTTCAGAAAAACTGAGAAGTAGCTCTGCTTCTCATTTCTTAAGTCTATTGGTTAAATCTTATCCTGAACCTGTCTTTGTCTGGGGGTACATTGAAGGATTCATAATTTTTATTTGGAAATAAAACACAGAAAAATACATAAAAGTTATTCATGATTGATTACAAAGTAAAACAGGTAAAGAAATAGAATCCTGTCAATTCTCCTCAATATCCCCGTGTGTCCCTTCCCAACAAGACTCCTAGTTTCTCCTTAGAGACATCACTATTCTGATTTCAACGGTGACCACTTCCTGGGTGTTATTTACCCTTTTCCAGCTATCTGGCTCCCTAAAAATAGACTTCATTCTCGTCTCTTAATGAACTTTATACTAGATGGAATCATATCAAAGGATACCAAATATATTTTGCTTTCTTACTAAACCTTATATTTGTAGGATCCATTCACATGAAGCTGTGTAGCATAAAACATTCATTTCTTTGCCGTATAGCGTTCCACAATATGAATATACTGCAACTTATCCATTTTAATGTCTGATTATAATTCCAGTAGTAGACAGTCTATTAGTGTGCATTGACTCGTCTGACTATTATGGACACTGATACTAGGACAATCGTAACGTGATTTTGGTGCGCGTGTGCACAACTTTGACTAAGGTCAAATTCCTACGAGCGGAATTGCTAGGTGTGCACGTTCTTATCAGATGTGCACCACACTGGTTTCCAAAGCAGCTGTGCCTCGTCGATGACTTTATTTTTAAAAATTCAATAGTTTTAAACATTCCGGATTATCCAAAAAGAATAGTTTTTTATAGTTGGAAACATTCCATACATGCCAATATTAGTATGCATAAAGTAATCTGACCTTAAAAAAGAGCATGATTTTCTAAAGGTCTAAAATAGTATGTGTTCAATAAGAAAAGTGTAAAGCTGCTTGGTAATAAATGTCAGAAAGATATCGGGTTAAAAATGATCTAAAATGTTTTATATAATTTTTAGAATAAACATATAAAAAGACATTTATTGTATTTCCAATTAAGCAAAGGCCAATACCATAATGATATTACTAATTATTATTGCACATTTAACTTCAAAGGCAGGTGGACACTATCATGGTTACAAGCAATCTGTGCTACAACATTCTTCTCCAGCTATAAATGATAAATTTCTTGAAATTTCATACATAGCTAAAACAGCATCTACTGTGATAAACAATTCTTTCAGTGTTCAGACTACAAGTTACAGAGCTATTATGAAAGCATCTAGAAGTTTCCAAGCACTATGAGAAGCTAATTATTTCAGAAAACTACTTAGACGGAAAAAATATTACAAATTCTAAAATTTTGTTTTTGAACATACTTTCATTTTTTGGTCTTTCTTTCCCCTTAGGCAGTGAATGTGAAATATAAATGACCATAGGTGAGAAAAAGACAATATTCCCAAAAAGAAACAGGTTCTGACAGTGATTAATATGGAGCCGCCAAAGGATGTCTGGCAGCAAAAAGAAGCAACGGCTTATGTAACTGATAAAAAATTAGTCAGTAAGACCCTACTAACGTATCTCCCTGGAACCTGAGACAGTGTATTTGATGAATTGTTTAAGCTAGACTGCATTCTTCTACCTCTTTAAACCATGGAGGCAAAATATGGGGGGAAAACATTACAGTTAACTTCTTATTCAAATGGGTTAATGGTCAGTTAATGAATTATGCTGATTAAAAGAAATATCGTACAAGCTGTCATTTAAAAATTACAATAGAATATTCTTCATTAACACTATGCTGAATATCAGTTCATCTTTCCTCAAGGATTCTGAAGGCATTTCTATACTTCCAGTTATTTTATAAGCCATGGCAACAACTGCATAATTCTACTAACGTAGAAAGTGTGAGAGCCTGGACTGAATTTCTATCCATCTTGTGACACACCCTGGAAGCAATTTAGCTGAATAAGTTTATAACAGCTGACTTGCCACATGACTCTTATAATAGGAGAGGAGGTGATGAAAGAAACAATTCTGGGTAATTGAGTTTTCTAGTTATTTGATTCACTCTCTTTCTTTTTTTCGAGGGAGGAGGGAACGGTAGGTGTTTCCAAATAGATATAAGCTTACAACGAACTGAACCTCTGTTAAATCTCAGAACAGATATCTCAGAGAGATAGTCTCATTGAATTTTAATGAATATAGTATACTGTGTTTAACAGGGCTACAGGTTTAAAATGCTAAACTATGATGTACTCAGAGATTTCTTTGCAGAAGACAAAGCTTCACCCCCAAGGCTTGAATGTCAGCTTCTCATCAGAGCGACTGTAAAGGCTCCCTGTGAAGGGACGAGGCCTTTGAACCTTGTTGAATTCCATCATGTCACTGCTTACAGTCCCAGCCCCTTGTGGTAGGGAGCTGACTATTCTAGATATTAGATGGGTTTAGGAGTAGAACAGGTGCGCCGAGAATTTGTGGTCAAAAAGTGCTTGATAATCACAGGTAATCCCAAGAAGATGGGCTATGGATATCCGAGTGAGAAATCAAGCTCAAAGTTAAAGTGAGTAATCACAACAGAATCACCATTATTATCACTAGAATAAAGTTATCAGAACGAGGACCACGAATCTACTATAATTGCTCTGTTTCCAGAATGTAAACCTAAAAAATGCTTTCGTTTTAAACTTTCTGGATCTCTCTCTCGCATTTGACATTATATACTGCTTCTTCCCTATTGAAAAATCCAGAAATTCTTCAAGAATTCCTCTTCCTCATGAGCCCTCTAAACACCTGGATTTCTAGGTTCTAACCTGTTTTTCTTACTCTATTCATTCTACCTGGACGATCATCAACTCCTAACCTTTTTTCTCCATTCAATCTCAATGGATATATTTTTTTCTATCTCAGCTCAAAATACCACAGTTTATTCAGTCATCAAAGCTAGAAAACTTGGCTTGTTACCTTTGACCCTTCCCTGGTCAATTCCATCCATAAAACCTACCGATTTTGCCTCTCGCGTGTTTCTTAATTCTGTTGCTCTTTCTCTGGGTCTCGACATCTCTCACTGAGACGGCCGTCTCCTAACCGGTATCTCTGCTGCTGCTGATTTTCTTCGGCTCCACCCTCTGCTTGGGTATAATAAGAATCTACCCGAAATGAACACCTGGCTGCCATTTCCCTGCTTCGAATTGGTTGAAACTGATCAACGGCTGCTCATTAGCTTTGCGGTGAAGCCCACACTTCCTGGCATTATCACAAAGTCTACAGAACAGTCCCTGCCCATCCGACCTCTCCCTGCACACGATTCCTACAGCGACTGTAGAAACTGTAATTCCTTATTGTTCCTTTGATCCGCTGTGCCCTTTTGTGTTTCCATACATTCATTCACATTGTTCTTTTTCTTTAGCAACCTCTACTCCCTCCCTTTCTCGTCTAGCCTCTCCTAATCTCAACTACTTATGTCTCGGCAAAGCTACCATCTCCTCCGAAAAGTCGTTGCTGAAAGTTCTAGCAGAGCTGGGGTGGGTAATTCTCTCTGTTCTCCTACTCTGGGTATCGCTTTCACTAAGCACACTGCAGGTTAGTGAATGTCAAAAATCAATAAGAACACGTAAAAAGAATAAAAGTAATAAGCATGTGCCCTCTATTATCTGTGTCCCATTCTGGACCATCAGGTCCTCGAAAACACAATTCAGAAATTATTCACATTTGTAACGTCGCTTCCTAGCCCAGTACTGACCACCGATGCTCAGGAAGCATTGTATTAAATGCAAGTGGCTGGAGGGGAAGAGAACATACAGAAAGAAATCACTGAGAAGTTTAAAAGTCTTCTTTGTCACATTTCTTCATGACGGTGCTGGTCCTGCTCGTATTTGGGGAGTCACATTGACTTCTTTAACTCTGGAGCGTTCTAGTTAAAAGTAACTCCAAATAAGCAATGTATTTCCTTCTCGCCAACAAAATGAATTCTATCGAGCAAATGTCCTGTTCCTGACATGAGATCTCTTACCTTCTCGCCATAGGTACATCCTAAAAAAGATATGCCACGTGCGATCTCCATCAAGTAAATGGAAAATAAGAAGGCAGAACGAAACCAAGTAGAAAACAAAATAACCTTGGCAGCGTCACCCCGTTTATTTCACGGAAAATTACTCACATGCAGCAGCAGCACAGCAGCAAGGAAAGACTGTCCTTGACAATACCCGATGTCTTCATCGTAGACGGAGTAGGCCTGGAGAGAAGAATGAAAGAAAAGAACCTCAGAGACAGTCCCAGGTTTGCACTTAGGCATTAGCGCGGGGCGGGCTGCGGCCAGCTCTCGTCCGCCGGCTGTCACCACCATTTCATGACCCTCAACCTAACTGTGAGGGTCACTAGGGACCCTCATGTACCACAGGAGTCACAGCACGGGGTCTAGAGATCTTTTGTTTTTACTTAAAATAGCTGTACTGAGGCACAGCTGGTGTTCAGTGAAACACACACATTTTAACCGCTCAGTTCCCTGAGAGGGGTCATTTACGGAAGCCCACTGCTATTCGATTTCCATCGTTCCAGACATCCCTCGGGCCTCTTTGCGGTTGAACCCCAGGCGACCAATGAGCTGATTTTTTTTTACAATATATCCTTAGCTTTGCATTTTTAAAAGAATTTCATGTAAACGAGATCATATAATAAATACTCTTTCGTTCCTGGCTTCTCTTACTCAGCATAACGTTTCTGAGATTCCCCCATGTTGTAGCATGGCACGTGTCAGTAGTTTATTCCTTTCCATCACTAAGGACTATTCCACCCACAGACATACCACGGTTTGCTTTTCCACTCTCCCATTGGGCATCTGGGGTTTTCCCAGTTTAAGGCTACGATGAATAAAGCTGCTATGTATACACAAGCCTTTTTGTGGATAGAGGTTTTCGTTTTCCTTGGGTAAATACCTAGGAGTAGAAGTTCAAGGTTCAAATGATAAGCGTATGTTTAACTTGGTAAGAAATGCCAAACTATTTTCCAAAGTGGCTGTACAATTATTATACCACACCAGCAAAGCCGAGTGCTCACTGCTTCATGCCCTTGTCAGTACTTGATATTGCTGGTCTCCTCCTGCCTTTTCTTATTTCTGTGGTTTTGACTTGCATTTTCTCGATGGCTAATGATGTAGAGCATATTATCACCCGCTTTTAGGCAACTGATACATATTATTTTGCAACTGTCTCTTAAGTTCTTGCCTATTTGCTTAATTAGGTTGTACACCTTATTATTCTTGATTTATAGGAGTATTTTTTACATTTTGTTTACAAGTCCATTGTCAGACACATGTATTGCCAGCATTTTCTTCCAGTCTGTGGCCTGCCTCTTCATTTTCTTAATGGTGTCTTTGAAGTACTACTGCTTTTTTAACCTTCTTCTGCCAATGATAACACTACCACACTCTCTTCTAATGAGAGAAAAATTAGATCATGGAATCGCTACCTAATGAAATCTGAAAGGAGCTTTTCTTCATTATCACCAGTTTCCAGAGCTCTAATTTTAAAAACTGAAAGATGGATTAGCATTCTTTTACTTATTTAATTTTCTTGGATTTATACAGTTATATTTCTGATCGCTTATATCCAGAGCTCATAGATGGGTGTCTGGGCATGGGCGTGTGCGTGAGCGTGTGCGTGTGCGTGTGCGTGTGCGTGTGTGTGCTACGAGTCAGAAAAAGGATTACAGAAAGAATAGAGAAGGGGCACAAAGTGAAGAAAGAGGGGACAGGTTCTAAAACTACCCCTATTTGGAGCGGTCCCAATGGTGCTGTGTCACTCCCTTTTCCATGAACAAGGAACTCTGGGATATGCTGATGACAGAGTATGTTACATGAGGGACAAATAGGTTTTCAAGGCTTCTCCTTCCTCATGAAAGACTCCTAAAGTGAAGATTCCTTAAAACTATGGATTTCCAAAAGTCCATCATTCTTCACCAACCGTGAGATCACTCTGACAAAAGATTGATCCATCTTTATATAAATATATTTAACATTTGCTGAGAAGTATGAAAACTGTTTCAATAAATGTATGCAAACAATGAGTTGCCCATTTGAGGAAAATAAATTAACCTTGATCCCTTCCTTACTTCATACACAAAAGTTAATTCCAGATATAGCATAGTCCTAAATATAAAACTAAAACTATAAAGCCACTCAGTGAAAACACAGAATACCTCTACAACTTGATGAAGGCAAAGATTGCTTAGCCAGGGCACAAACACTAAAAGAAGAAGCTCATACGGTAATGTCGTCATAATTAAAAAATCTTTACTGATGAAAAGACTGGGAAAATATTTGCAAATATATCTGGAAAAGGTCTGATATCAGAACGTATAAAGAATGCGTACAACTTTACGTCAAACAATCCAATTTAAAAATGGACAGAAGATTTGAAAAGACACTTCAGAAAGGAATGGACAATAAGAACATCATTAGATATTAAAGTGTTCAACATCATTAGTCGTTAAATTAAAATGAAATGAAAGCCAAAATGAGATATTACTACATGGCCACCAGAAGCCAAAATAAAAAAGACTGGTAACACCAAACATTAGTATCCTTGGATTCTCAAACACTGTTGGTAGGAATGTAAAAAAGCAATGCTACTTTGTAAAATTGTTTGGAAGTTTCCTATAAAACTAAACACGCACTTGTCCTAAGACTCAGCAATGCCATATCGATGTATTCACCCAAGAGAAGTGAATACAAATGTACACAAAAAATTGATACAAGGTTAACACTATTCCCAGCAGTTTTATTTATGACAACCCAAACTGAAAGCAGCTCAGGTGCCCCTAATCAGGAGAATGTATAAACAAACAAACTGTGGTATATTCATACAGTACAATATTCCTCAGCAACAAAAAGCAATGAATCATTATACCCATACCATGGAAGGATCTTAGAAATATTATGCTGCGTAAACTACATCTTACACAAAAATTATTCTACGCTAGGGTTTCACTTATATAAAGGTCTCTAACAAGTCAAAGTAATATATGATTAAAAAAATCAAAACGAGGATTGAGTCTGAGGGACAGGCCAAGGACTAAATGAGAAGGCAGGAGAGAACTCCACCTGCAAGGCTCAAACAACATGAAAAGACTAGCAAATCCACAAATAGAAAGAGGATTAATGACTGACAAAGGCGGGGGCAGGGATGACAGGGAGTAACTTCCAGTGGACACAGGGCTTCCTGGAGTGACGTTAATGTTCTAAAACTAAACAGTGTGACGGCTGCACAACCTCATGAAGATACTAAAAGCCACCAGATTGTACACTCATTTGAAGGGGTGAATTTTATGGTACCTGAATTACATCTCAATAAAAAAATATGGATGCAAATATGTTCATGTGCACACACACGCATGTATGTCTATACATATATTCACTTGAACATACATTCATTAGCTCTGTCCACTGAGGTAACTTGTATCAATGGCATCCCAAAAAGCACTGAACACACCTGGCATACAGATATTAGTTTCAGACCATTTCTGACTAAGGAAAATAGGGCTCCTTGAAGGGATGGCTAATTCTAGAGTTGGGCCAGAGAAATGAGCCAGAATGAAAGGCAGTGCTCAAAGAATGATAGAGTGTGTCAGGGGGACACGGACACCAGCTTGAAGGTCTCCCACTGTCCAACTGGAGACAATGTGAGCGCCGAAACAAACAATGATCGTAAGAGAATACAATCTTCTGAGTAAAATGAGAAGTCATGAGTCCCTTTGAATATGATAATAAATAAATGGAAAGTCTGATGGGGAATGGGATATTTACTTAGTTACAAAGGCTCTCAAATAAAATACCTATTAATTACAAAGAGAAGAAGAGTAACTTCATAGTGGAGAAGGCCGGTAAGCAATATCTTATTTACGTGAGCAATGTGATCATCATCAATAACGTAAAAACCGTTAACAGTGTGCTGCCTGAGAGGAAGAAATGAAGACAGATCATCGTCTCTGTGTTTTTCCTGCCAAAGACGTACAGCCTGACCTAACCTCGAGAAAACGTCAGACAAACCGAAACTGAAGACCAGTCTGAAAAATGACTGGCCTGGAATCTTCAAAAGGACCAAGGTGAAGAAAGAGGAGGAGGGAGGGAGAAACTGTTTCAGACAGAAGGAAATGAAGAATTCCTGACGACTGAATGGAATGCGTGAATCTTAGCTAGATCCTTTCTCTACAGAGGACATTCTTCGGACAATCAGTAAGGCCTGGATGAAGCCCAAAGCCTAGGTAGCAGCAATACACCATCATTACGCCCCTCATTTGGATGTTCTTTTACAGCTGTGTAGGAGAATATTCTTGCCTGTTAGAAAACACCCTAAAGTATTTGGGGGTGACGTGGCATTATGTTGGCAAATTACTCTCAAATAGTAGAGGAAAACAAATTCCGTACCTGCGACTTTCCTAAAGGTTTGAGATTGTTAAAAAAATATATATGGAAATATGGGAAAATACATATATATAAGTAAATTTGACAGAATCATGTTGAATCTAATAATAAAAAATGGGGGCTTACAATGGTTATTAAGTTTGTCCTATATGCTGGTAAAAAGGAAAATATCAACATAAGCTCTAAAAATAGACCCACTGACATGAAATAATCTAAAATACTCTAAACACTAGCAACAATGAATATAAAAGGCTGGATGTACTCACAAATATTCACTCACAAAGCAATTTTCTTATCTAACACAGCTGGCAAAATTCCTAGATGTAAATTTCCTTTTATATAACGCTTCAAAAAAATAAATAAATAAAGGCCCCTGGCAACAATTTTAAGCTGAACGGATATGTTCAGGGTTTTTTTTAAGAAAAGGAAATGTAAAATAACTAGACTACCATATTCTTAAAAAAAAAATTTTTTTTTAATGTCTCTATTGCAAGTAAACTCTTGTGTGATTACTGGAAATTACTCAGTGTTTAATATCCATTCTTCAACTTTTGATTTTAAAGAAATGATACATAAAAGACATCATAAAAGAATTCTATAAAATAAAGCAGCAGCCCTGCTCTTAAGGAGCTTACTTAACCTAAATGATTCTTATGAATAAAATTACTTTACAGAAGAACGAAATGGTAAAAATAGAGAGCTCTTTCAGAGTTTACATATGTTCAAATTGCATCTGAAATACCAGTATGTTGACCGTGAAAACACGCCTCTCAGACCATCAACCGCAAGGGACATTAAGTGACCACGGGTCCCAG